TGATGAAGACCTGAAAAATATAACAAAGGTGAGTCAAAACTTACAACAAGTCCTTTCTACGACAACCCAAACAGAGACTTGAAGAAACTACACATCTATATAGTCGATATAAATACATACATTAATAGCTCTCACTAGACTAAGACAGACTCAACCACGTAGTGAGTATCTCATGCAAATTGCACACAAAGGTAGTCACGAGTCCTCCTTCTACCAGGGCACACATATCCCTAAATCCAGTTACCCATCTTAAGTGGCAATATACGTCTCTATCCTAATCACTGATCATTAGACTTCAAGCTTGTATCACGGTACATGTAATATCATTATATATATAACTAACCATATCCTGACAATGGTATACAAACAACAACCATACCAATATGCTAACAATAGGATGAAAAATTATATAAACTTATAAAATAGCCATATTCTAACAATGGCATGTCATCCATATCCTGACAATGATATAACATAAAACCACATCCTCACACTAGTTTTCAAATAATCTAAACACACACACACACACACACACACACACATCATGTTTAAGACCACAAAATACGGACATGCACTTGATTAAGATAATAACATATCATTATAGTGAATAACATACAATTTCGTGTTATTAAATCTCTAGAATAACCTATAATTATTTAAAACTTCCTGCATCAATTATCTCAACATAATCTGAATCCTATGCATGCTGTTAATTTATATTTATAACCAATAAATAGTCCCACAAACATATCTCATGCTAAATATTTAATCTCACATGTTAAAACAATCTGAAATATTAAATTCACCAATTTATAATTAAATAATTTCCAATTGCTTGAATCGTTATTATCATGCCTGTTTAAATTCACATATCATATTTCTTAAGTCCTTATAAATTGTTTGGGACCTTACATCATCAAATCGGGCCTTAAAAATTACTTTTCGTCCAAATTTGCATAATAGCGCTCAAGCATCTCCCTTACAGGGCTCGAGCACTACTACCCAGAAAATGGCGCTCGAGCGCTGTTTCGGGAAACAGCTCGAGAATTCCTATTTTCAGCCCTATTATTCATTATTAAGGGTCCCAAAGCATGTTACTAAGTCTTATAAACATCCAAACATGAATTTATATCATTATATATAAACATCCAAACATGAATTTATATCGTTATAATATGTAAAAATCCATTTAAATTAGATCTAAGTCATGAATTTTTAAAATCATACATCAAGAAAAAACATGAACATATAATCACAAAACATATACTCTAGATCAAATTTAAACTTGTATACATATTTTATTAATCTTTTAAACATCCCTAAAGTTATAATAGAGACATATAGATTACAGATCTAAGGGAGAAGTGTAAAACGGATGACTTGTCTTAAACTTTCGAATCGAAAGGTAAACTCCTTTCTTATTCTTCTTTTCTAACGCCGGCAACCTTCGAGTTATCGTCGTCCACTCTGATGATCATTCTTTTTCTTCTTCTTCCTTCTCTTTCTCTCTCTTCCTCATGTTTTTTCTCTTTCTTGCGCCCCTCTTTTTTTTCTTTTCTCCTTTCTCTATCTAGATCTACTCTACATATATATATTGAGATAAATATATACTACATATACCCTAGACCAAACATACGTCTGAAAATCTCAAACTAACTAAATAATATAATAAATAATTATTTTTAACGAAACATAATATAGATATATATATACACCTCATTGTATATATAACTACTAATTCCCACAGGTCACTATTCAACCCATTTAGGATCCCATTCAAATAGTTCAAGACCCATCTAGTTGGTCCATAGGTTACACTTAAATACATAAACTTTTTAAAATAAAATAAAAATAAAAATAAGCAAATCATTTAACTAACACAATTAAACATTTTAAAACAATTTGATTACATAAACACATCACATTAAGTCAACTAAAATACACACACACAATTAGTTAACACAAATAATTTAATTAACTCAATTAAAACAATAAAATAAAATAAATAATCAATTAATCATACAAATAAATATAAAAAATAAATAATCAAATAGCCACGTAATTAAATAAAAATGCAATTAAAATACTTAAATAAATTTACATAAATTAGGGGTATTATAATTGTGGTGGTGGTGGTGGCAATGACAGTGGTGGAAGGCAGTGGAGGTGGTTGTGGTGGAAGGTGCAGGGCCGGCCCTAGGCATAGGCGACCTAGGGCCTCCAATTTGTAAGTGCTTCAAGATTTTAAATTTCCTTATATATATATATTATATTATAATTATTTTCTAATATTTTTATAAATTTGTGTGTGTGTGTGTGTGTGTGTATATTTCATATATTTGTATATTTTAACCAAACTTAAATAAAAAAAATCTAATTAGTAACATTTTAAGTTCACAAAAGTAAGAAGGATGATTTTTAAATAAATATTATTTAATATTAATATATTATTAAAATGCCACTTTTTATTTATTGTCTAAGGGCCCCAAATTATTTCGAGTTGTCCTTGGTGCTTATCATTTGTTTTAATGAAAAATTTGCACCCTTATAATTTATTTTATTTTTCGCCTAAGGCTCCAAATTATTTCGAGCCGCTCTTGGTTCTTATAGTTCATTTTAATGAAAAATCTGCACTCTTATATATATAAAAAAATCTGCCTAAGGCGTCAAATTATTTCGAGCTACCCTTGATACTTATCGTTCATTTTAATAAAAATTCCGCACTTTAAAATTTTTTTTGTATAAATGAAACTTTATATATAAAGGTCTCGAATTTGAAAGTTCGTCTAGGGCCTCTTAAAATTTTGAAAATATCAAGCTGGCCATTAGAAGGTGGCGGTAATGGTGGTAATTTTTGATCATTCCATAAAATTAGTTGTACAATAAATTTTTATTTTAATAAAATAATCATTTTCATTTTAAATTGCACATTAAACAATGGAATGTATCGAATGGGCATTCTATTATTCCACAACAAGTAGCATAAATTCAAAAGCAATTGATACGAACATGCATCGCATGTAAGTTAACCATTTTCAGATTATACGTGTCAATAAAGGAATCACAAAATATTAAAAAAAGCAAGAGCACTCGAGTTCGCCCACTCAGCACCCCATGTGTCCTTTTTTCTAATTTTATTTTTTTTAACTGTATCAAGTCACCCTTTAGCACTTGGATTTACATAACCATAAGCTTAATCGAAATCGTGGCTGGTTCATCATCTAATCCTGCACTTAAAATTTGCGAGTACAGGTGGGACCGATAGAGATCACTTCACCAGTGACTTCCACTTGACATTGGAGAGAATGATCATATTTTAGACATTTAGTGTGTAGTACATAGTTCCGGACAAACACTCGAGTATCACCCGCCTTGGGTTGTACTTCTGATTGATTAAAACGTTACAATTTTAAAGTATAGGAAACAAAAAAATAATCTAAAATTATAATTTAAAATTTTTAATTTCAATTTATCAAAAAGCATATTAGACCAAGAAACCTCTCCCAAAAAGTGTGGAACAAAAGCATAAGCCGTCGCTGTTTGTTTCAAACGTTAGGAAAGTCGAAAGACCTGGTGCAGTCCATAACGGTGAAGGAGGATGGTCCAGCCCCTACTAGTCCCAGTCCCACTCCCATCAAGGCCTGGTTGGGTTGAATGTTTGGCAGCAGCAACCATCATTTCTATGGTCCATTAGAGAGCTACCGCTTAACCCATCTAATTATTATTCCGTCCCACAGTAGTTGCGCAACTCTTGGCTTTAAGGCCTGTTTGGCTGGAGGGTAAACACTATTACAAAGGTAATGGAAGGAAATACAATATTATGTTTGGCATAGTATTTTAAAAGAAATGGAAGGATTTGAAAAGATACAATTTTTGCATTATGTATTATTATTATTTTTTTTTTCAAGGATGCCGTCATGTATTAGTTTTTTACACTTATAATGAAATTTTTACATTATTTTTTACAAAAGTCACGTATTCTAGTAAATTCATTAAAATTATTTCATTTCATTTTGATTCTTTCCTTAATATGATTACTATGATTTCTTTTATTAATCAACCAAACACAATAAGCAATGATTAATAATATCCTCTTATTATTATTATTATTATTATTTTTGCTCTATCAAACATAGCCTAATTTTTTTAAGAAGGAAAAATTTCTTTAAGACCAATCCAGGAAAGAAAAGCAAGACAGATATTGTGGGAGGTAAATTTAAATGTTCATTAACTAAAAGATAGATTATTTTTTAAAATTTGTTTAAGATTTATGTTGTATAATTTAAAGGCACTTCTATATTTAAATTTTACTTTTATATGTTTCAATGTTTGATAAAAAATATATATATAACAGAGAACACTTTTAAGGATCAAAATTTAGTTCAATAGAGATTTTAAACAAAATTAAAATTTCCAACTTTTGAAACTGCATTCTAACGGTTTTTTCATAGACAAATTTATCTGTTTTATTTTCTAGAAAGAAGATGTTATCGGTTTTTTTAATATAGTAGAACTATTAACAAATACGGTAACATTTATTTAAAAGAAATTATTATAAAATTAACAATAGAAGTATTTTAAATAATATTGTTAACAAACAAAATAAAAAGCATGTGAAAAAATAACTAATATGATTTTTTACTAATACATCAATTTTATTAATAAAAACATTTTACTAATACATCAATTTTATTAATAAAAATATTTTTTTAGTATTCTAAAAGCAAAGTCCAAATGAGCACTAAGTATTTATTCCGTGGAAAAAATAAACGTTGGTCTAAAAAAAAATATGCAAAAGGAGAATAAAAAATCGCCAATAAAATTATAGAAATTTTATATTTAGTTAATATTTTTTTTATTAATTAATAAACATTAAAAATCTCTCAACATTATTACTATTTTTTTTTTTTTTTTAAAAAAAAAACAACTGTAAGTTTGAAAAATGAATAAATGAAGGAACAAATCCAATCAAAGAGAAGAGTTAATGAGAACATGGCATCTCCAATCAGACAACAACTTTTGACTTTTTTTTTTCCATATCAGAGTTTAAACATGAATCTAATACCTAAATCAATTTCAGAAAAAAGAAAAAGTAAAGCTGTAACCCAAACAAAGAAAAAGTCAATTCCCAATACAAGCCGGCATGGTGGTGTGACTCTGGTTTGTGGAGGAGAAGACAATTATATATAAATATGATCGGTATAAACTTGGTTTGGTTGTTGTTTGGTTACTTTGATAACAATTTATCACTTTGCTTGAAAGCGTTGGTATTTATGAGATCATGTAGATTGACGAACTGAACAAGCAACCACTTGTGCCCACTGTCTCAACCTTGTCTTCACCATCTGTGGATTGTCACCTTCATTTCACCCACAAAATCAAACAATCAACATTAGATCTTATCATCCAAAATCAACGGCTATAAATTATCAAAAACTCGATGCCAAGGAAAAAAAAAAAAAAAAAAAACAATTATAATGCTCCGATCAATCGACAACTTAGAGATAGATCAATTGTGCGTACACTTTCTGGAGGTAGGTTAAATAACGAACGTGGTTCGAATCACACGGTATACTATATAATTATATATTGTGTGTGTATATATAGAAAGGGAGAGAGAGTTAAGTAATTACCGGGACCGAATATGGTGCGAGGGCTGCCCAGGGGCGATGATGTGTCAGATTCGGAGGCCGTAGAAGAAAACGACGACGACTTCGAAACGGTGTCGCAGTACTGCTTATTGACGGCGTAGTAGAGGCCCAAAGCGGGTAAAGTATCCGACAACCGTTTGTCCATCTCATTCTCGGGCGACGCAAATCCAAACCCCAGTTCAATACAAGCCTTGAGCTCATCGAGATCTTCGTCGGTGACGCTCTTGCTCCGCCTCTTTCGACGGCCGTGATTGCCCTTCCGCCTCAGCCACGCCTCGTCGCGGTACGTATCCGGCGACCAAGAATTCTGCTTGTATAGAGGCGCCGCCAGAGGCGGGAGAGACGGTGGCGCGCTGGGATTTGACATGGAGGCCTCCGCTGCCCCCTGGGGCGGGGTTGGGCGGAGGTCGGCGGACCTCGCGCGTTGGGTTTTGGAGAGCTCTATGGCTTTGGGTTTGTTTTGTTTTTTTAGGGATTGTTGGGTTGTGGAGAGAGACAGTGGTTATATGATGTGGAAGTTGTGGGTGAGGTGGTGTGGAAATGGGTCCTACGTAGGAAGCATTGGTTGGTCCGCGTCATGATGACCTGTCATTTCCTTTTCTAAAAGGTTTCTCATTTCTTCCGAACTTGGGAAAGGAAAGGCCACTTGTGACTCATGGCTCATTATGTTGTCACACCTTATAATCACTAATTTAAATACGAGTCCCACTCCCACCCACAATTTTTTACTATTTTTCAATTTGGTGGATACATTTTTATTATCATTTTCTAATTTGAGTTTCATCTAAAGTATATATATATAAATATATATATATAGATATATATAAGAAATTACAATATAAGAGATTTGAGATTTATTTTAAATTACTCAACGTTAGTGTAGATCTTACATGATCTTTCTTCCTCTTCAAATGAAATGTTGATTGTGAATGCTGCTAAATGTAATATTATAATTGTGTCTGGGTTTGCTTCTACTTTATATATATATATATATATATATATATATATATATATATATATATATAAAACAATTGTGTATGTTATTAGTATAGCAAATTACATTCTAAGTTAGTAATAGATTATTTTTTTCTTTCGTTTGTTTAAAAGAATGAAAATATATATATATGCATTAATTACATAGCATTCACAAGGAATAAGGTTAATTTGAATCAACACAATACGGTAACTTTGAATTCACAAACAAGAGCCAGCAAGAACCAGCAAGGGTCATGGACCTCAAACTTTTTTGAAAATTTTATTAATGAATATGGTAATTGTGTTGTGACTTTAGTGGTGAAGATTGTGGGTGATTGTGATGGTGTGGATATGACAGTAGTGATTGAAATTGTAAGGACAATAGAAGAGATTAAGGAGAGAGGGATTGAATAAAGGTATTGGTTAATTATGATAAATTAACTATGATTATGTTTAATAAATTAATAAAGTGTAATTTTCTTAATTGACTTTTGGTCTGTTGAAAAGTCCGTTGTTTTGGAACGTATGAAAGCCTTCCTCCTTGTTTAATAACTTAATTATTATTTTTTCCTAATAACTTAATTATAATCTTAGTGAATTTAAAATAATTTTATTTAGCTAAAATTCATTATTATTTTTCTAATATTTAGTCTAAGTATATCGTTCTCAAGTGAAATCAAAGTACTTAATTTTTTTCTTCCAAAAATTAAATTTTTAAAAACTTTAATAATTGATGAAGGAAAATTGATTATCTAATTATGCTTATTTCTTTACCTCTTCTCTTTTTTATTTTAATTCATCGTTTCTTCTCTATATTTTTCTTTCTAATATTAGTTTGTGTTATCGTAATGCATGTTTTTATAATAAATAAAACTCTAAAACTGAAAAAGAAACTAATAACAAAAACAAACTTAATAATTTAAGTAAACTAAAAATATAAAAAAACTAATGATAGAAAGAAATTAAAAAACTTAAAATTAAACTCCCTAAAATATATATATATATATATATATATATATATATATATATATATATATATATAATCTATTAAAACGGTGAACTCAAATTTAGTTTTCAAAGTTAACTTATTGGTGGATCAATTATATGAAACTCTTTTACTAAAATTTATATAATTCATATATTTGATAATTTATATGAACATACTATGGACGGTTGTTTTCAGAGAAAATTAAAGACAAAAAATAGAAATAAACCTTGTGTTAACATTTACTACGTAGTAGCCAAGAACATTCTGATGCACATTTTTCTATTCAACAGAAACATATGTTCAAATTCTTTAAATTTCTTAATACAGCTGGCAAAGGATGTGAAATCTTTTCAAGTACCTTTCATCTTTTATACATTTATCAGTTCAATGGTTTGAAAAAATAAAATAAAATAAAAAATTCAATGTAACGTTCCATGAATACACGGATTGTTAAGGTGGACTTAGTCGGAAAATGTCATAATCAGGAAACTTCCAGGAAAATTAAACTTTGATTAACACTATTATAAGTCATCGTAAAACATTCCAAAAATATCCGTGTATCAAGCTAATAATTGTCAAGCCTGGGACACTTCCAGACAAATCAATACAAATAAGGGTTAAGTGAAAAAAAAACCCTCCTCTACTATTAATATAATGCATATCAGTTCCTGTATAATAAAAAACCTTCCATATTATTAATTTGGTGCGATTGGGTCCCTGGTGGTATAAAATGACGATAATACCCTCCATTTAGTTGAATAAATTAATGATTATAAATATAGGTCATGTAAAATGACCATTTTGTCCAAATTTGTATAAAATGGGGTTTATTTGGCAGAAGGATAATATAAACCTCAAATTATATAAAATTGGGATAACCTAAATCTGAATATAATTAAATCTAAAATCAAACATGCCCTTTGGTTCGACAGATTGTCCTCATCGGCAAATCGAGTTGCACCAATCTGCCGTGGTGGCAGCCATTTGCGGCAACGATGTTATGGTGGCCGGAGGGCAATGTGTAGCGACGACGGCGACAATATGCAGTCACCGTCGCCGCACTTATCTTATCGGCGACTATGGGTCTCCATGAATTCAGGCGATTGCAGCATCCATCGATTCTGGCATCAATCTGCAATGTGTTTGCGGAGTAAGGGATCAATTGCGCTGGCAATTCATGACGGCGAGGTCAGATGATTGGATTTGGTTAGGCAGATTGTCCTCATCGGCAAATCGATCTGTAGCATAGGCAAGGATCCGCCGTTGCGGTGCCGACATTATGGAGGAGGGCAATATGCAGCGACGTCGGCGACAACTTAATTGATATTGGGTCGAGGGAGAGAGAAGGTCGGGCTTTTAGGATGAGAGGGGAGGGCAATACATAGCGTACATGCCATTTTGACTTTTCAAAGAAACTGACAAGGCACTAAAGGGCAAAAATAAAAGAAAGGTTACGTATTAAAATGGCATGCCATTGGGTTATTTGGGTATTTACCACCGTTGTGCTAGGCTATAAAAGTAGCATTAGATTAAGCATTCAAGGAATGCTTACTCAGAGATTCACATTCACTGAACACGTATTTGATCCATGTCTATTTTCTTCTCTTCAACCAAATTTCTTCCCTGAGCCTCTCATATTTGTAATTTGATATCTCTAGTTTTTTATTGCATTACGATAAATAACCCCTACAAATACTTATAATTTTTTATAAGTTATTTAGGAAAAAAAAAAAAAAAATTATAAGTTGACGAGTTTAATGTGACTTTTTAATTTGTTCAATAAAAATTGGAAACAAGAATTCGTGTATATGCATGTTTGCCATTTTAATTAAAATTGGTGCTAATATTGTTTTGTTATAATATATAATAATTTAGTAAGTATAAGATAAATATTATATTTTTGTTAAAAAAAATAAATAAATATTACTCCATACAAATTCTAAAGTTGAATCAAACAGAATTAGAATTCTAATATAATTAAAAAATAATAAATTGAACTAGAATTGTAATTTAATTCCATAACCAAACGTACCCATAGCCTTTTTTTTTTTTTTTTTCATTAATAGATAAAAGTTGCCTATTGATAAAAAAAAAAAAAAAAAAAAAAAAAAAAACCAAGAAAAAGGTATATTTTACTAGTAATGATAACGTGAAATTTAATTTATTTATTTTTGTTAATGTTCTTTTTTTCTGTTAATATTTTTTCTATATCAAACATTTATTTTGATGTTGATGATACATTTATTTTGGCTACTGAACATAGTATGATGGGGGCCTTTTATGCACAAATGCTGAGGGTCTTTTATGCACAAATTGTGAGGGGCAAAATGGGAAAGAAAAGGGTAAAATGGGGTTTTAAGTTTTACTTTTCATAAAAAGTTGTCAGAGGGACCTGTTATGCACCTTTTTTGAATTTTGAGGACTTGCATGCACTTTTTCAAAAAGTAAGGATTTGTTCTGCACAAAATCTATATATGAGGGGGGTTTTCTGCACTTAACCCTACAAATAATTGTTATACGCGTGTAACTGTATAAGAAGACTTTATCAAGCCCCTGCTCCGATGGCATGACGAGATCGAGAGTTCGTGTGACATTCCACACATCATTTTTTAGGAGAATTTGTTAAGCTTTATATATGTGGTTAATATATAATTAGTATAGACGCGTTTTGAATAAGATTATGAGCATTTAGAGAAAAATATATAAAGTGAACAATATTTACATAAGTTTTGAATAAGTCGGTGACAATTCATGCAAAGACACTCATTTGAGGTCCAATGGGGACACTTGCCTCAATGATATTTTTTTTCTTTTCTCACTCACACCCTCATTATTGTTTAAAATAGTCCCCATTGAAATAAATTTTTGGGTCGATCACTAGTTCATGCACAACTTAATGTGGATCAGACCATTGAGGACGCTAAGTCCCAAAGAGGAGGCGATTATGACATTCCAAATCTGTGTCAGAAAAAAAGTTACTGAGATTTATACATGTGAACACCTCTTAATCATGTAGAGTTATAGAGTTATAGACGTATTTTGAACAAAATCGTGAATATTAAAAGTAGAGTGTCTCAACACCCTATAATTATGTATATACGTGTAGAACAAAATCATGAATACTAAAAGAAGAGTGTTCAAACTCCAGAGCAAACAGTATATGCACAATTTTTGAACCGTTCGTACAAAAACCTGGCGTCTCATCAATACAAAAACCTGACGTCTCACAATAGAATAAGCTAGTTTTGTTTAACAAATCCTAAATAAAACATTAGAACAAAGCAAGTCTTTGTATGGAATTTTACCTAAAAAAATAAAAAGTCTTTGTATGGAAGTTTCATATCCGCTGCCCAACTTGAGATAATTAATGGCTGCTCTCGATCAAACAAATAAATTGTTTAGTCACAACTTGCCAAATAAAAATGAAGAATCTGAGAAATGCTAGTCTTGATACCAATCATTCAAATTAAGCGTGATTGCTGGGAAAATTCAAAGTTATGAGCTACAGTTTAAAAATTAATTAAATGGGCCGT